CTGCCTCTGCCTCCCGAGTGCTGGGATTAAAGGTGTGCGCCGCTGCCACCCAACCTGGAAGCAGAAAATTTTAAGGACAGTTTAGTCACTTTCTTTTGTGTCCTGTGGAATGTCTCACAGACTCTTTTATGAAACAGGAACCCCGAAGGATCATCTTATCTTTAGGCAAGTTCAGCAGTCCTCTCTCTATGGGTTTTTTATGTCCAGTTTATGCAACAGTCCAGGCAAGAGCACTTTCTTGCCCAAATGGCTAACCAACTCCATAAAGAGCCTCTTCAATGCCTGTCTTCCTCTTGAGGTAGCTTGGTGCTGCCAGGAGCAGACATGTCTCATTGTCATGAAAAGCCCTAAGTTATTAAAACATCTTAAATGCCATATTCTGTAATCTTTGAAAGATATGAAGAATGCCTATCTAACTGAAATATCTATATATCTAGAAAATCTAGTAATATGACTACAAGCTTGACTTATTGATGATTGTCCATTAACAGCCTATATTTCCTAATTATACATTACATTTTTAAATGAACTACACAATCACAATACCTTAAGAACAGAAATATATATAACAAGATTGACCTTAAATTTATATCAATAAAGCAAAATCCATACCAATGGTAATTATATCTTTATCATATCCCCCTTTAAATGTAAACAAAGATTTATAAACAATATTTGGGAATATGGACATAGTTATTTCTCTCCAAACTTATTTCTGCTGTATTGGGGCACTGTTAATCAGGTCCTTTATGGTATATCCTGTGTGCTAGGTTCATCTCAGGAGTTGAGTGAAGTAATTTTCTGAGGGTATTTATGGCAACCTTTAAGGAGGGCGTGGTCTATCATACCATATTGGTCTAGAAGCAATCCAGTGTCTCATCCTCTGAAAACAAAAAGAACCTCTTTTCAAAAGGGTTATATCCTCAGACCCAAATTTTGAAGTCATAATGCTTTTATAATATACATGCTGGTTTAGCTTAGCAGCCCACACAATGAAACGTCTCTCTGAACTTAGCTCCTTACAGTCAAAAAAATTTAAGGAAAATGCATTAATATACAGAATCCAGACTCTGAATTTTTTATTTTTATGTGGCTTAGTACTCTGTCTCTTTAAAGACTACCCTTTTTTTAATGTATTTATTTTATGACTCTATACTCTTTTATTTTTTTCTCTCATGTCTACGTACATTTATTTAATACTGTGACCCATTTAGAGGTCTTTCATGTCTGAATATGCCTTATTGTGAATCTGTAATTTTACTGTCTAGGAACACTTTTGCTTTGCGCTTTAAGAATCTGGCGACCATTCTAGGTCAAATACAGGTACTGCCTGATTGCCCTGCCCAGTCTAGCATGGCGGAGCTGCTTGTGCCTCTGAGTCACTTGTGCCTCTGAGCTGCGTGCAGTGCCCCCCTTCCAGCGAGTCCAGTTGTCATCAAACAAACCAAGCATAAGCACTTTATTCACAAACTCCATCCAAATGCTTCGTCTCCCAAAAGAGTCAGAGGTCATATTGGCGGCACAGCCCAGAAAGCTGGTATTTTAAAACCACCACTTTTTTTCCTGTTGTGGCTCTGAGTGAGGAAATTTTTTCTGTGGCACCGAGCCAGCAAACAGCAAAAAGTTGTGTTAAAATCTATATTTGTGTCTAGAATTTCTTTTAAAGCCCTCTCAGGTTTTACGTTGAGTCAGTTTGCCACGTTGGAGCTCCAAACTTGCATGAAAAGAGGGTGGGGGCCTTTGTACCAGCTGCCCGGCTAGCTTACACCTGAAATAGTCACACAGAAACTGTATTCATTTAAACACTGCCTGGCCCATTAGCTTTAACCTCTTATTGGCTAACTCTTACATATTAGTTTAACCCATCTCCATTAATGTGTATTGCCACGTGACTGTGACTCACTGGCAAGATTCTAACCAGCGTCCGCCTCAGGCAGGAGAATCATGGCGCCTGCCACTCTGCCCTTCTTTCTAGCATTCATTTCTGTCTACCTAAGTTTTTTATTTAGCCAATGAAAGCAACACATAAACAGAAGGATCTCCTACACCACAGTATTGCTTCAACTATGACTCCTTGACAGGGATGCTTAGGGCAGGGAAGAATGCTAGTGTCTTTGTCTCCCAGGCAGAGAAAAGCAAGAGGCATGCTGCTTTTTACAGTGCAAACTGGACCACTAAAGCTAAACACTGTTGCAAAGGCAAAACTAAGTAGTAGGGTGAGAATTGGGAGAATAGCTGTAGGTAATTCCAGGAGCTATCAAAGGTGCACAGTACATCTCTTACTTTTTAGGTGCTCTGAGTTGAAACCAAGTGGGGATGCAGAGGCAAGCACTGCATAAATCACTTCGCCAACATTATCTGCCTGGTTAAGCAGCTAATGAAAGCATAAAAAGAATGAGCTTGAGGGAATTGTCAGCTCAACTGTCATTAGGATTGCACAGGCTTTAGCAAAGTGAAGCCTGGTGTTCACTTCCTTCCCTGTTTTTTCTTGATTTTACTGTTAATGGGAGGATTACTCTGCATTCTGAGGTATGTATGAGACCATGTCAGATTTTCGGGGGATGTTAAAACCTATCACCTTTTCTGGAAGATTGTATTCAGAGAGCTCCAGCCAGACTCTTGCAATCTGGGTGCATTCTTACATGATCACCTCTTCTAAAGGTCTGAATCATTGAGGTGTAATGGCCTCAGTGCTTTTGTTTGACTACTGATAAATGCTTTGACTCCTACCGTCTACTGCACACCTTGTAGTGAATGTTCCACAAGGGTACAGGTAGGGTATGCGGTAGTTTACAACAGAAAAATATTTGTTTTAAGAACTAACTTTAAATTGTGTTGTTTCACTTCTACCAGGAGCCTCGTTTTTTGTTTTGCTTAAAAGTAACTGATTATGTCATGTGCAGTGGTGATTGTGAGCTTTAGCGTTGTCTGCTGCCGTCTCTGCATTGGAGAACTTTGAACTGTTGATGATTATGTTCCCTGTGAGCTCTGCAGTACACCATGGAGGAAAACAGAAATAATACCCTGAGCAGCCAAATTGGAGTTGTTGTCATGGCTTATGTGCATGTGGCACAGAACCCGGTTGGTTTGACCTTCACTTCTTGGGCAGGACTTGTTAGTTGAAAATAAGTTACTACTTACAACTTAGGACTTGAATTATACATTCTGCCCATTCTGTGGCCTTGTTAGCCTTTCCCTTCATTCTTTTAATTTTCCCATTTGACTCCAAATGGCGATTTCACCTAGACTGTATTGATTTAACCATGATCCCCGAGTTACATTGAGAGCAGTTAACATTTTGGGCTAGAAGGGACAAGTTACTAGAGCAGAGGTATCAGTTCCCTTCAGTCTACATAATAACCTTCCATGTAAAATGCCAAGTGTGTGGTTACGTTAAATGACTGACCTGGAATTCCATAGCAATTAGTACTCTGTGCAATCTTTGGATCTTAGCCAAAACTCTTTGGATGAGAAGATAAACTAAAGTTTTGGGGATTTTTTTTGGGGGGGGGGGCAGTTTTAGCCCTGTATTATACAGAGTTAAAAGGCTGGGTGTTGATATTGTTTATTTTAGTAGCCAAGACTATCATTTAGGCATGTGGGGAGGCTGGACTCTTGTTTTGCAGGTATAGGTGTGTATACACATGCTCATAAGTTACAGCCCAGCAGGAAGAATAAGTAAATCCATGAATTGTTGTGTTTATATTCTGACTCCAAGTTGATTGCCTACTTTCTATGATCAGGCTTAACCTAAACAGCTCAGTAGCAGACACAGCAGGTGTAGATGTATTTACATTTTAAGATGTAGTGCTTACAGGTTGGATAACTCTGGGTGCTAATATTAAACTACACATTTTTCTCTCCTTGATGAACAGTAAAAGCTCCAATATTGAAAACCTCAACAAAGTAACTGATTGTCATCATGGGAGTTTTGTAACAGGATTATTCTCTTGTCGCCTAAGTAGACTCTATTCTCTGTCACCAAAGTAGACTCAATTTGTGTTTTGCTGTGGTTACTAGATGTAAGGAAGTCTGTCTCATTCATACATGACTGGTAAATTGTTTCCTTTCCGTGTGCTGTGTATCTAAGGTTTAGAGGTTTTAATTGTAGGTGTGCCCGTATGAATGAACACTTTAGTGACAATGGACTTAAAAGTTACAGACAGTCCCTCAAGCCTAAGAGAAAGGTGGATGAGAGTCTGGGTCAGGATTCAAGTGTGTCAAGCCAGATATAAGAACAAAGAAGGGCAGTTGTCTGAACAGACATGTTGAATAAGTGGGCAAGAGGGAGACTGCCATGGGTGTATGCATTGTCCCCTAGCTTCCTTTCCTCTTCCCATTTGCTCCTCACTCTTCCCTAGCCTCTTGGTGGCAGTTCTTCATGCCTGGGAGAGGGAAACAGAGCAAGGCTCCTGTACTTTGCTGGTTGAGGCACTCCCACGTTTGTTGGCAGCTTTGGCCACATTATTTGTGAGGTGGCTTTTTTGTGTTCAGAGTGACTTCTGGTTCTGATGATTGGTGTTGTATGGAACGGCACTTTATCTGTGTTTTAGCAGAACTGTTCCTCTGTATCCTTTATGATTTTTCCATGTTTTTGATTCCTTTTTAAATTATATAGTTTTGGTTTTTTGTTTTGTTTCTTTGGTGAGTGTGTGAGAGACATTAAAGCCTTTATTAACCTTATGTTATTTTGGCTTATTTCTTTTAAAGGGACACATTGTTGGGGGCAGTTAAGTGGAAATCACCTTCTGTTGGCTTCTGATTGGACTTCTTGTAGTAAACCCATATTCCTGATGTCATCTGAGGAGTCTGAAGCTTTGCAGAGACTTCTGGGTAACAGCATCCCCAAGCCCAGAGTTGCCCTTAGCTAAGCTTTGCCTTTGTCCTATTGAAGTGTGAGGAGTGAGATGACACCTGCCCCTCCTGCTTCCCTGTAGGTGTCCAGCTGAGCGCGGAGGAGTTGGCTGCTCCTCTAAGGAAAGCAAACACTAGAACAGGACTCCATGGGGATGTTGCATCTTTCTCAAGGAGATCACTGTTATAAACAAAGGACTATCACACTGTGGCTCACAGATACAGTTGGACATTTTCAGCTGGCATAGGATTTAAAACCCGTAATGGCAGAACATAGCCTTCACAGGCAGGGTAGGGACTGCTGAACAGCCAGAGCCGTCACTCTCAAAATAGTCCTTTCTCTTTCTTGAGGTTTTGTTGCTTCCATCGAGGTAGAGCAGAGAAGGCAGCTGGAGTCATCCCCAAGGCCTTAGTGAAATCTTCCACGGACAGGTGCTCCTAGGAGAGGACCAGAGGGCAAAGGTCAGAGTCTTCCCTGGGTTTGCTGGGATGACTCATACAGATGTGACAGGATCAAACAAAGGAGGAACAAAAGCTAACACTCATGAGCCAGAAAGTGGGGGGAGGAAGTGCTGCATGAATACAAGGCCGCATAGTCAGCCAGGCTCCTGCCATGCTAGTCTTGAAGTCAGATCTCAGATCTCGACTCCTACTCTAAAGTAGGAGTTGAGATAGTCTCATGATCAGGCTGGAGCCTGAACTACCTGCTACCAGGTAGTTCTTATGCTGCTGGGTTCAAACCAAGGGCTGTATTCTTAGCTCCAAATGGAAGATATTTCTCTCTTTGAAATAGGGTCTCACTATTATGTAGACTTGGCTGGTCCAGAACTTACTATGAACTGGCCTTGAACTCTTAGAGGTAAAACTGCTTCTGCCTCCTGAGCAGTGCAGCAGTGCAATTAAAAGTGTTCACCACCACCCTGGCTAGGAGTGTGTGTGTGTTGGAGTTGTTTTTTTTTTTTTTTAGGCAGGGTTTCTCTGTGTATCAGCCTTAGCTGTCCAGGAACTCGCTTTGTAGACCAGGCTGGCCTCAAAGTCAGAGATCTGCCTGCCTCTGCCTCCCAAGTACTCAAGTGCTGGGTTAAAGGCGTGAGCCATTTATGGGTGTGTGTCTCACAAGAAAAGTATTCATGAGGCTAATTCAGAATGATCTTCTAAAGAGGATAGGCGTTTGGTTCCCAGTACCCACATGGGATAGTCATTCACAACTGTATAACTAGCTCTAGAGAGCGGTTCTCATCTTGGGGATCACATATCAGATATCCTAAATATCAGATATGTACATTATAATTCATAGCAAAGTTAGTTAGGAAGTAGCAATGACAATTTTATGGTTGGGGGTCACCACAACATGAGGAACTGTATTAAAGGGTCACATTAGGAAGATTGAGAATCATTACTTTAGAGGCTCCTACACCACTTTCTGGCCTCTGGACATGTACATACACATCATAAACTCATTTACACGTATATATATAAGTTCAAAAATATGTGGGGGCTGGCAAGGTGGCTCAGTGGGTAAAGGTGCCTGCTTGCTATGCCTCAGAACCTTAATTTGATTCTGGAACCCACCTGGTGAAGTAGACAATGACACTCTGAAGTTGTCCTTTGACCACTATACATATGTGCTGTGGCACCCACACACACGTTTTAAAAAGTTACATGATTCATCAAATAGTAGTTCCAAATCTAGACTCAAAAGCAAGCAGTGTCTGCCTGTGCATGAATAGATGAAGCTTCCAGTGCCATCAGGGGACTCAAGGCCCTTCTAGCAACAGGCTACCCCAGCCTGGGCCTCACGTGCTTTGTTTTTGTTGTTGTTTTCTGAGACAGGCTATCTCTATATAATAATAGCCCTGACTGTCCTGGAATTTGCTGACCCTGATCTAACAGAGTTACACCTTCCTTCCGAGTGCTAGGATTAAAGGCATGCACCATCACCTCCCGGCTTCTTAACCACGCTATGGAAGCAGGTCTTGATGTAATCCTAATGAATAGGGCAAGCAACAATCAAACATACACACTGCTATAGCATTTGCAAAGACACAGCCTGGGGCAAGCCAGGAGCCCTCCCTTTCCCCAGGGAACCATTACTCCTCGATAAGTCTGCTTTGAATAGTCAGCTCTCATAGTAATAAGTTCTACATGCATGATTAAGCCAACCACAGATGGGAAAAAAAAAAACCACTATGGAATGTAGGCACACTTTGCCATTACCCCTGCACAACACAGCATAACTGCAGAGCGTTTAATGATTTGAGATGGTTTAATGTATATGGGAGGATGCATGAGTGTCATAAACAAATGGGGAAAACCTACCGTAGGTCAGATGGTGGCATCGTAGTCTTTAATCTCAACCTCCCTCCCCCCCCCCTTTTTAAGGCTGACTGGGTCTGGAGAGATGGCTCAGTACTCTGGTATTTGATGCTCTTTTGGAAGACTGAATTCAGTTCCCAGCACCCCTGTTCACAGCTACCTATAACTCTAGCCCCAGGGCATCCTGTGCCCTATGCGGGCCTCTGCAGGCGCCTGCACACAACACACATTATTATTACTTTTCTTCTCTTTTTGGTTTTTTAAAACAGTTTCCCTCTGTACACCAGGCTGGTCTCAAACTCAGAGATCTGCTTGCCTTTGCCTCCTGAGTGCTGGGATTAAAGGTGCCTAACTTGATACATGCTTTTAATTTCAACCTTCAAGTGTTTAAGGCCTGCCTAGTCTATACACAGCAAGTTCCAAGACAGTCAAGGCTGCATAGTGAGACCCTTTACCCACCCCCCCACCCCCAAAAATTGGGAATCTGGCATTGGAGCACATGCGTTTAACTCTAGCACTCCAGAGACAGAGGCAAGCAGACCAATGTATTTCCAAGTGGCCTGGAAATAGTAAGACTATGCCTATAAATAGATGATTAGATAGGTAGGTAGGTAGGTAGATAGGTAGGTAGGTAGGTAGGTAGGTAGGTGGATGGATGGATGGATGATAGATGATGGATGGATAGATTGATGATAGACATACATACATACATACATACATACATACATACATACATACATACATACATACATAAAAAGGGACTGGAGAGGACTCAGTGGTTAAGAGCACTTGGTCTTGCAGAGGACCCAGGTTCAGTTCTCAGCACCCATATGGCAGCTTATAACCATCTTTAACTCCAGTCCCAGGAGATCCAACACCCTCTTTTGGCCTCCAAAGGTACTAACTACACATGGTACACAGACATGCATTCAAGCGAAACACCCATACACATAAATATTAAATCTTTAAAATAAATAATAAGCCGGGTGGTAGTGGTGCATGCCTTTAATCCCAGCACTCTCTTGAGTTTAAGGCCAGCCTGGTCTACAAGAGCTAGTTCCAAGATAGGCTATTTTTGGCACATGTGTGTGAGGTCATGTATGTGCAGTTGCCTATGTATTTAGAGAACAACCTTAGGGGCCATCCATCTTGTTTTTTGAGGCAGTTTCTTACTAGCCTGGAACTCACTAATTGGGTTAGGCTGGCTAGCCAGCAAGCTCCAGGTGTCCACTTCACCAGAACTAGGAGTACAAGCGTGAGTCACCATGCATGACTTCCTTTTCTTTTTCTTCGATTTACTTGCGTGTGTTTTGCCTGCATGTATGCATGCATACATTCATGCAGTGCCTGCAAACATTAGAAGAGGGCATCAGATCCCCTGGAACTGGAATTATGGGTGGTTGGCAACCACCTTGTGGGTGCTGGGAGCTAAGCCTGGGTCCTCTGGTGCCCTAAGCCATTTCTCCAGCCCTATGCATGGCATTTGATATGGGTACTGAGGATGGCACTTGGGCCCTGGGGTTTCAACAGCAGGTGCTTATGGACTGAGCCATCTTCCCAGTTTTCCAGATAATAGTTTTCTTGACTGTAGAATGGGGTGGTCGATATAGATTTGAGTCTCACACCCAAGCTGATCTTGAATTCATGAAGGAGCCCAGGCTAGGCTCAAGCTAGCAATGTTCCTCCTGCCTCCCCTCCCCAAAGGCTGAGGTTATAGGTGTGTGTCACCATGCCCACTGTTTTAAAACTTTTCTGTACACCAGAGGTCAGCTAAGCTTCTGCCTCCTGTGAGAGCCTCCTAGAGCTACAGTAAGGACATAGATGTCTCCTTGCTTTCCAAAGCCTCACAGGGAGAAACCAGGGGATTATGTACAAAGGAGCCCCCTGAGGCAAAAGGCAGGAAGGACTTCAATTGTGCAGCCCAAGCTGGCTTCAGATTTAGGATGACCCTCCTCCCTCAGCCTCCTAGGACTTGAATTACAGGCACCTAGGTATAAGCCACCGTGCCCAGCTCATAATATGGCTTTCTGTGTATGACATACGTGCATGTATGTGTGTGAGCATTAGTGGTTGGCAACCACCTTGTGCATGCAAGGCACTAACACCTGTGAAGTGGATGTGACAGAGGACAACCTCGGGCGTCAGTCCTAACCTTCCACCTACTGTAGACAGGTGTCTTATTGTTCACTGCTGTGTAACCAGGCCAGCTGACCTGGGGCTTCCAGGCAGTATCCTGTCTCTGCCTCCTATCTTGATGTAGAGCAATGAGATCACAAGCACATGCCACCTCTGCTCCAGGGGATCCAGTGCCTCCAGCCTCCACAGGCACCTCCACCCACATTCACACCCATATAAGAGCGCACAGGCATACTCACACACACACAAATAACAGTGCGGGCATGGTGACAGCGCTCACAGGACAGAGGCAGACTCTCTAAGTTCAAGGCTAACCTGGTCTACATAATGAGTTCCAGGACATAGAGAAACCCTGTCTCAAATAAATAAGTAAAGTAATTAATTAGTTACAAGAACAAAAACAAAAAAGCAGACTTAGTAGTGCCTGCCATAGGCAGTGGCGCAAGGATCACTGCAAGTTCAAGGCCAGCTTGGTCCAATTCAGCCAAGGCTACCTAGTGAGACCCTATCCAAAACAAATACAATTTTAAATTGTATTTAAATACAATTTTAAATTTAATTTAAATTTAAATACAAATTTAAACTTTAAAAGATGACTATCTGACCTCCACTGCTTCAGCCACCATAGGTCCCCAAAGGCATGCCCCTGCCTCTCTCCCCAGTGTCTGTGCTCCCATGCTTCCTCCCTGGGCCTCTTGCCTTCACGGTTGCTGCTGCTCCTCCAGGACAAACTCGCTTTGCTCCCATAACTTGGGTTCCTGTCACCTTTCGGAAGGTGACCTCTGACACATAATGCCCCTGATGCCCACACAGGATGCTTGTGTGCCTTGGCTGCACCTGGCACCACCCGTTCTCACCATGAGCGGTGATTGGGCTTCTCTGCCCTGTTCCAGGGGGTGTAAGGCTGCCATGAAGGTATGTGCACCAGTTCTCTACAGGGCAGTCTGGGGTCCATGAGGCGATGAGGTTTTCCAATGAAATGGACCAGTCCTCCTCCTGCTGGGCGTGGCCCACTCACCTCTTTCCTGCTGGGGTCCACACCCTCAGGGAGCTCCTCCACGGGCTTGTTCACCAGCTGCTCCAGGGGGAAGATGGGCAGGGGCCCAGAACTGAGGGTGGTGCCGGCAGTGAACACATCCATCTTCGGGTTCATGACATCCTATGAAACAAGAAAAACACACGTCAGCAGCCACGGGGCTGCATCCCACACTGAGATGCTCTCCATTCTAGGGGACCTTCTTCAGGAGACCTCTCCTTGTCCTCCCCCTCCCCTGTTACACACACAGTAAAACACGTTAAACACATCTCCCTGGGTTGGACTCAGAAGCTAGTAGAGTAACCTGGCACCCTGCATCTGACCTAAACTAGTTGGAACAGGATGATTATTCAATGACTAACCTTCCGTGGCTTCCTCTGGAGTGTGACATCTACTCTTCCCTCGACATTTATGACCCTTTCTCTCATATCTGTTATAAAGCTGTCATTTATGAACTCACTCAGCCTTGACCTAGCTTTTCTTCTTAAACACTGCGCTGTCCACCAGAGAGGGCTAATGAATCACCATAGTGTTCCCGACCTGTGACTGGAGGAGGTGGGTTACCCTCAGGGGCTTGAGACGTTGCTCTCAGGTTCTGATTGTGTGAGAGAGCTAGCTCTGCCTAGTTTCTTCTGTGGGACTGTGACAGCCTAGACACACCTCTGACAAGTGACAAAGACTGAAAGAGTCACAATCGTCCTGCCTGGAAAAGTGCCCCAAGGGTGATGGTGCCTACGGATGTCCCCGTTTCCCCAGGTGGTACACCAGACCACCTCAGACTTTCCTGTAAAGCATGCCGAGTCTGGGGCTGAGGATGAGGACTGGAGTGGAAAGCCAGGCAGGGTGGGAGCATATCGTGACAGCACACTGCAGAAGCAAAGACCAGGGGTCCCAGAGGTAAGCCAGCTACCATACCAGCTGAACTGGAGCACTCGGGCTTGCAAGAAGACCTTGCCTCAGTAATAAAGTGGAGCGCCCCCGATCGGGGAAGACATTCGCATCGGCCTCTGACTTCCATACCCATGTAAACACACATGCACGCGCACATGTACACACATCTCATACACATGAACGAGCAAAAACTTGCTACTCCTGAGAGCCAACTCAAAGTATTTTGGAGTGGAGCCTTAAAATTCGCTAATTTTGTTTCTGGATGATTTTGTTTATTTTGAGTCTGGGTGTTTCTACATTCTCCTGTCTCAGCCTCCTGAGTTCTGCAACTATAGTCATGCATCACTAGGCCAGGGGGAGAAATGTGCATTTTAATATGCTGTCTCAGTGGTGGCTCACGCCTTTAATCCCAGCACTCAGAGACAGAGGATCTCTGTGAGTTCGAGGGCAGCCTGTCTACAAGAGCTAGTTCCAGGACAGCCAGAACTGTTACACAGAAACCCTGCCTTGAAAAAAGAAAAATGCAGGCCATTTTACTAGGAAATGGAGAGACATGGGTGTTATACAAAGACAAGACGAGGACTTTCACAAAGAGGGAGGAGATGGGGATGGGGTGCAAGACACTGGTATCGTCTCTCAGCATTCCCAGTTCCCGTGGATATGAGCACTTCCAGGCCAGGCCACCCCCATACTCACATCAGCAATCTGGCTCCAGTCCCCAGAGTTTCCAAGCTCTGCCTTCAGGTCGTCATAGGATTTGGCATTCTGCAAGCAAAGCAAACAACAGATCAGACCCCGTCTCAGCAGAGGAATCAAAGGTGGAAAACAGGGGCAGGAAGTGGCTCAGAGTGAGTGAGTGGGTGAGCGAGGCCATCTCTAGTTAGAGAACAAGGCCAAAGGGGCTAACATTGGGAAAGAGCAGTGCAAGGTGGGTCATCTGTCCCTGCTCAGCTGGACAAGAGACTAGAGAAGAATATGTGCTTCCCTGACCCCTATGAGGGTCCGGGAAATATGCACATAGCCACAGACATTATTGACGTCCTGCCTACAAGGGATGGGCTCCGGGAAACTCGGGGCCTGGGCACTTAAGGGGAGCCCCAACAGAGGACTGGGAAGGGAGAGACTGTTTTAGGACCCTCCTCCATATACAAGACCCAGGACCTAGCACCCAGAGTGACACATCAGAGCTCGCTCAGGGAATTGTGTTTGCTGAGTGAGAAAAGCACAAACGAGAGGAGGGAAAGTCACCTGACCCGTCTGTCGGGTTGGGGGTTGGCGTGACTGTGAGGCCAGGAATCCATGCTGCTGCCTTCAGATTTGCTTAACCTGAGGTTGGGGCTATGGCTAGGTGGGTAAAGGTGTTTATCTCCCAAGCGTGAGGAATGGGGTGCAGATCCCCAGCGCTCATAGAAAAAAGCTGGGTAAGTGTAACAGCTTCTCTGTATGTAACCACAGCCTCTTAGCCTCTCAGAAAGTGGAGATGGGGGACCCCAAACTCCAGGGACTAGCTGACTAGCTAGATGAGATGAACCGATGAGCTCTGGGTTCAGAAGGAAACCCTACCTCAGCAAAGTAGAGAATGATCACAATACGTGATATGAACCTCGGGCCTCCACGTGCACGCGTGCACATATACACATTTGTTCATACGTCCAGGCACACATACCACACACATGTGGGGTCGGGGGAGACCTGTTTACCCGAAGATGAAACAGCCCCTCAACAAGAGTCAGGAGAAAAGAAAAGGCGGGGAGGAGGGGGCAGCAGACTTGAGGAAATTAAGCTCTCTGTCCCTAAATCAATTTCTTCTGGCAATTTAAAACATCCAGAGCCACAAGCCTTGGGGGAGGGGAAGAGCAGGTACCCCTGAAGGCCTGACGCACTGTCCCCCAGTTAGAGCACGCACATATGCAACCCACTTTGCTTAGACTTTAGAGCCAGAGGAGTTTGTCTGTCCTCTAGAGCAGCGGGCATGTCCTGGGCTGGCACTGCGGACTCTCGGGGTCAGCCCTGAAGGAGTTCTTATGAAGGGACGTCCTTTGCTTGTGGCTGCTCCTGAGCACGACTGCGCCCAGTCAAGAACTGAGTCTTGAATTTTTTTCATTCTAATCAATTTTCCATAGCTTTGCATAGCATAAAAGCAGGACACTATAACTTCGCTGTTGTGGGTTATTTGGTTTGTGTTTTGACAAATGAAATTTGCCTGGAGATCAGAGGGCAGAGCTAGCCACGAGTTAACAGAAACCAGGCAGTGGTGGCACACACCTTTCATCCTAGCATTCAGGAGGTGGACACCGGATCTCAGTTTTGTAGGTTTTTTTTTTTTTTTTTTTTTTTTGGGCTGAAGAACAAAGAGGAAGAAAGCAACGGGTGGCGACTCCTCTGTTTTCTGACCGTCCAGGTTTTTACCCCCTTATCTACCTCCGGGTTTTTATTGATTAAGATTAATTAACGCTTCACTACACTGCCCCTCCCCCATGTGTGCATGCTGCCAGGGCTCTGTCCATGCTGGGCAAGTGCTCTGCAACTAAACTAAACTCACAGCCTTTTTTGTTTTATTTTGTTTTTGTTTTTGTTTTGCTATGTCATTCAGACTGGTTTTGAACTTGAAACCCCCCTGTTTCCGTTTTCAAGTCCTAGGAACACAGGCATGCCTCATCCACTGTGTCTACAAGCCTTAGGTAAAACAGGGTCTCAACTAGCTCAGGCTATCCTCCATCATTCCAGGTAGCCAAGGATAGTCCTAAACTTCTGACCCTCCAGCTTTTACCTCCCAGACATTGGGATCACAGGCTTGTACCACCATGAAGCCACCTGGGGGGAGGGGGAGGGGATGCTGAGCCATGAGGACTTGCTGGGCTACTCACAGACCACTTGAAGGGATCCCAAGCCAGGAACCAGCCTGTGAAGGTGGGGGGCTCGTTTCCTTGCTTCACCACAATGATGGGGGTGTCAGGGTCTCGGTTTCCTGGGTGGGTCTTGAGGTATTCCTGTACAGTGGTGGCTGCGGCCTTCTTCTCTTCCTCGTTGGCATGTTTCCCTATCCAGAAGAAGACCTGTGGAGAATGGTCCCTCAGTCAGTGCGTGGCGAGCAACATGGGCGTTCCTCATGTGCACAGGCTCTGCCCTTGGCTCGTTTCTGCCAGCGAGGAAGACCTGTCACTACTCAGCTAGTGACCTGTTTGGGCCTTGACTTCACATCTGTGTTGTAAATGAGGCTGCCCAGATGCTGCTCCTTAGATGGCCTGTGGCTATGGGACACTCTGCTTCCCCAGAGCCCAAGACCCTTAGCAACGTTCCTGCTTCCTTCCATGGGAAATAAAGAAGTTATGGGATGATCAGGGCACAGCCCTCTCTTTCCCCCTCTCCAGGAGAAAGAATCGGGGCCCCCAGACCTTGATGTTTCCCTACAATAAAGCCCCTTGGGCCCTTTGGTGCTGGGAACCAAGGTGGGGAAGGTTAGTTTTTAGACCTCTCATCCTACCTGGTCCCAGACATCCAACAGGAACACATCGTCCTCCTCCAGGTCATCCTGATTGAAGTCAAAGATCTCTGTGGCCACAAAGCGCCCAGTCTGGTTGGAGCATTCGAAGAGTCGAGGGTTGATGACTTGGGTTTCCTCCTGCAGCCTGTAGGGTGGGCAGATGTTGGTGTGGGGCGCAGAGACTTGAGGAACACAAGGACTGGAGAGTTGTAGGACTCGTACATGGAAAGGCTGGCTTCTCACCAATGCCCTTCTTATGACTGACGAAAGGTCCCCTCTCCTTTCAACAGTGCTTCAAGAGACAAATCCCCTGCTTTTCTGGACATGTCTTCCAGGAGCTCATCTACAGTCCTGGAGGAAGTTCTTCCTACTATCCTCCCACTGTCTCAACTACAGTGTAGAACTTTTGCCTTTGAGTATTCTTTGGATCTTCTTTAGAAACTAACATTTGTGTTGTCCTCCCACAGCATTCTGGGAGCCTGTGTCAGTCTCTAGGGGCAAGGTCTGGGCTCTGGCACTTGCTTCCTCAAGTTCAAGCAGATACCTCTGCCTTCTTGAAAACCCTCTTTCTAGAGAAAGGCCCATGCCCGGCCCTAAGCATTGCTCAGTGAGCCCTTGCTCGGGGTCATGCGGGGGGTGGGGGGGGAGGAGAGATGCCAGGACATTACCGCTTGGTGTTGGCGTAGGGCGCCTTCCCGCCTAGGGCCATCCAGAAGTTGGCTGGCTCCTGTCCCTCCACAACCACTTGTTTCTCCGTCCGAGAGATAGTATCAGCGACCATCTTGGCCATCTCCCGCTCATCACCGCTACATCCCTGGGAAAAGAGGGAGGCCGTTCTCATGCGGAAGACCAACCTCGGTGCCACCCACCTCCTCCTGCTCTGTTCTGCCAGAGCCCCTGGGTCTGAGAGGGTCCCTCTGGACCAGGATGCCAAGCACACCCACGAGGGACAGTTCTTACTTTCCTCTATCCTTAACAGCCTAAAGAATGGCAGAGGAGATGAGGAAATACATCTCGTTCAGAGGAAGAGACACAGCACAAGAGACAAGGCAGGGAGAGAGATGAGCCGGGTGCCACCATGAAAGAGAGGAGAAAGACTGATTCTGACAGAGAGCCGGAGAGGCACAGAGAGACCAGAGCTACATGAAGAAGACTCTCTGCCTACCACAGTAGACCTGCCAGTGGGACCTGGTCCCTCCCACCTTTGCCCCATCTGCTCTGTGACTGAGGGGTTCCCAGGACCCCCTGTGTATCATGGTGTCATAGGCATGAGAAGGAGGCCTGTGGTCCCTCACGCACCTTCCCACACCACAGGTAGCAGCAGGATGGAGTCTTGAGTATGAAGACATCATTGGAGTTGAGGGAGGTGGCCCGGGCTGTAACCTCAAAAGCCTTGGTGTTATTGGCACTGGTTCCCCGGACCTGGAACAGCCTTGTGGAGGGCACAGGCTCCGTGTTGTTCTCTCGGGAAGTGCCTCCCTGCGGGCGTAAGGGGAAGGCAGGAAGACAGGGGCAAGGCTGAAGGTGACATGATGGCACAAAGGATGTCCAGAGAGGGCCAAGGGCGAGGGGCCAGCCTTTGTGTTCTTCTCTCCTTCCATAAATCCCCCCGCGGAGGCCCCAGGCCTTACTGTGCCCCTGTGTGGTAAGACCTCATTCCACCTCCATAGAGCTCTTGAGCTTCCCCCCAAAATGTCTACAAGTCCTCTGTATTCTTTCCCTCCTTGAATTCTTTGCTTGCTCCCCACTTACTACATCTCTGCCTCTTGTGGAAGTCAATTCTGTCGCTGGCATTTAACTACACAGTGCTTTGAGCTGGGTGTTCACTGCTTAGAGGAGAGCCACACTACCGTCCCCTCCCAACAAATGCTCTCTGTCAAGTCTCGCTTCACTTCCTGAGTTGCAAAGGACTTTGTGTCTACAAGCTTCAGCATAAACAGACTATTGCTTAAACAGCTGCACGAGATGCCTGGATCATTTTGTTGGGCAGGAATAGCAAATATAGTCCCCTCCCCCCCAGAAAAAAACCCTTTTTCATGCATCAAAGATTGAGAAGGGGAAATAATATTTGTACACAGTGCGGGTTTTCTAAAGAAGTTCTAAAGAAAGCTTGCTGGTTTCTGTCACCAAGTGAATACATGACAAGGGAGCAAGCTTTGTCCCAGTCTCATGCCCACCAGACGCCCCCTTCCCCATCTCCTTGATGTCCGCTCTCAGTTCAGCAGCTTCACCTGGTAAACCACCATGCGCCCCTTGAAGATGGACATGAGGTGAGGTGGCTCCTTGCCCATTGGGACTCGGATCTGTACTGGCTCGTCGTTGTACTTCTGGTCCAGGATGACAGCTTGATACGCAGAGGCTGCAATTTCATCCTGGCTGGCCTGGCTGCCCTGGGAATGAGCAAAGAGAAGGGAGAGTGAGGGTCCCGAGTTTGACCTTATCCTTACTATATTCCAACCCAGTTTTAAGTATATCAAGAGTGCTGTGTGTGTGTGTGTGTGTGTGTGTGTGTGTGTGTGTGTTTACATGTATGGGCATGGACAACTTTAATCCCAGCACTCAGGAGGCAAAGGCAGGTGGATCTCTGTGAGTTCAAAGTCAGAATGATCTATATAGCAAGTTCCAGGACAGCTAGAACTAAACAAGAGGCCCTTTTGACTTTTGAGGAGAGAGAGAGAGAGAGAGAGAGAGAGAG